TATCTGCCCCCAGCAATGGGAAAGAGTTTTATTTATTAGACATTCACAAGCTGTTCCAAAATTTAATAATAATGTTAAACAAAGTGCCTGAAAATGGCAGGTGCTAAATAAGTTGGTTATTGTTGAAGCTATTACCCCTGTAATCAGACAATACCAACAAAGAATGACAGACAAGCCCTGCTAGAGAATAAAACTAAAAGACAGGCAGACCTAAAATAGTATTCCTAGCTGGAGGTGGCAGTTTGGGAACAACAAAGGAAAAAGTGAACCCTAAAGGACAGGAAGAACCATGGAATTGTCAACGAAAAAACTAAGAACTGTAGTTCTTGCACTAACATTCATAATGGAGCTAAAACTGACTTCCCTAAGACTATTTGTCTTTTCATAAGACTAATGTCTCAATGTTATAAGAGAGCTCAAAATATACAGACTTTGATTTTGAACCTCCTAAGCCAATCACCAATTTTAAGATTTCTAATGACAAAACTCAACTATCCTATGCTCATAATTACTGTTTTAAACAACTTTAAAATTTATCCATTATATATCACAACTTCAGGAAGGTATCCTTTAACCAATGAAAATATGAATTTCTTAAAATTTTATATACAAAAACTTTAATATTACTATGTAAGTCACCAATTGGATATCTCGTACTCTACCCTACCATGCCCATTCAAGAACCCTATCAACAAGGTTTCTCAAAAGCTGTAACCTTGGAGAAAATGGAGACTTACTTCCATGGCACTCTGAACACTGCGAACTCCCAAAACCACCATCCCTCATCCCTTATTTAGCAGCTACTGTAACATCTGCAAGGCTCCATTAGCCAAAGTGAAGTGTCCGGCCATTCCAACCAGATGAAATTCATCAATTCCCTACACACAGGGGAGAGAAAATTACAGGCATGTTCTTAGTTTTAAATGTTACTCCCCGATTTTTTTTCCTCAAAACTCTACTCTTCTCCTGCCCAGTCAACTAGAATTTAATATGAGGTACTACCTGATTTAGCCCATAAGTATACATTTAATTACTGTGATACCTCAATTTCTTTTTGGCAATACTGGGACTTGAACTCAGAGTCTCACATTTGCTAGGCAGGTGCTCTACCACTGAGCCGTGCCTATAACCTTGGTACCTCAATTTCTGTACAAATTTTATAATGCTAAAAAATTTGAAATCAAAACTAGTGTAAGTCATGGCAGATCAATTTCCTCAATTAGTTACAATCTAGTAACAAGAAGCAAATGGATCAAGAAATTCTAATAAATGATGAAAATGGCACTCCAACAAGTTCTCCATATAACTGTGAAGGGAGTGAGGTCATTAAAGAAATGACATAGTAGTAATGAGGAAAAAAATAATTCAAAATGAAAAGGCTTTGAAGGAAAGAGGCATTTAACATGACTAAGAAAGAAGAGGGCAGTCTGGTGCCAGTTTCTGACTGTGCTACAGTAGATCCCATGAGTTTTATCTTTACATGAAAAAAATTGCCGATTTTATATATTTCAGACTAAATTCACTTCCATATACTATGAAAACAGACTAAAAACCAACTGCTCCTCTTACCAATGATAGAAAATATATGAAATCTAGATTCTTGTCAGGAACTACAACTAAAAATTGTTTTTTGAAAGTCTGGCTTCAAAAATAACATGCATAAATGTTTCTCAGTGCATTGACATAAGCCACGTAATCTTAGCCAGGTGCTCATAGTTCATTCCTACAATCCTAACTACACAGGAGGACTAAAATGGCCTGGAAAAAGAGTTCATTAGACCCCCACATCTCAATCAATAGCCAAATACAGTGGCATATCCCAGTTAGACCAGGAAACATAAAATAGAGCATCATGGTCTAGGCAAGTCAAGGGGTGAGGGGAGTAAGACTTACCTCAAAAAATAACCAGAGCAAAAGGGGCTGAAGGCATGCCTCAAGTGGTAGAGTACCTGCTAGCAGTGTGAAGTCTTTTGTTCAAAATCCCAATAATGAAGAAGAAAAAAAAGCCTTGTAATTCATCCCTTTAGGTATCTCTAAAACTGTATTTTTGGATCAAGCAGATTAGACCTCAGTTAATTTATCCCATATATAAACAAAGCCATTTCTCTCATAAAGCCTTTTGTATTATACCAAGAAATTTTAGAAAAAAATCATAAAAAGGTTACTACTATAGCTGCTAGGGAAATGCTATCCAAATGCTATCTCTTTGTATGTACCAGGTCTCAATAACATGGAGAATGTTTTTATCCTAACTAAAACCTGATCATCCCCACCTCTACTTTGGCCACAAGGAAACTAACACAGAACAGTATCTGCAGACCTTTTCTCAGAAAACTAGTTAGTTTACATCACTATAAGGAAATGTTACCTAAGTTCATTATTCTCCTGCCTTCATTTTCCTTTCATCTGATTACTTCTCCTTTGAATATTATGATTATTATTTTTGCAAATTAACACAAATCCTTTGTGCGAATAAGTTGGGGCAAAAATAAATAATACAAACTGTAGAATCCATATTTAAATGGAAAGGGAGTACATAAATTTTTTTTACTAGAGTTTACTAAAGAAAATAAAGCAAAATAATGAAAAACACCAAAAAGTTTTTTATTTTCTTAAGCCAAGCTACCTATAACATTCAGATAATATACAAGCCAATCTCCCATAATTTTGGTATCTGGCTCTATCATTATATAATAACTGAAATTCAGTGTAATAACCCAGTGTAATAACAGAGTATATTACATAAAATACCAAGATGTTTCAGGTGTTTTCCCCTCAAAATAGTAGTAGACTAATAAATCATTTAAGTTATACTTTACAACCATCAATACATTTTCTATTTAAATCCTCAAAATCCCAATTAAATGTAACATCTCATCTATCTTACTGTTAGCTGAATGATCCAAGTAATTGTGGACATTCTCTAAGGTTCTATTCTAGGCATTTCTTTAAATTCAGTGGGCATTTCCACCATCACAATTTCAACCAGTCTATGTGAATGATTCCAAAATCTCTATCTTATTGCCATTGGACTGTCTTACCATAGCTGAATTTAAATGATCACATGGAGTGTCATTATATTTCTCTTCTTCCTCATTCCCTATTATCCATTGTAATAACTTCACTTTTGACAATGACATTATCAGTCCAAATCCGGGCTTTGGTCATCATTGTCTCTCCTACTCTTTAGCTCTGATAAAGGATTGATCATTTCTTCTTTTGATACGTGTTTTTATTTGGCATTTTCTTTATCGATTTTTTCTACTTCACATTCTAATAAGCAGTTGATCCTTCATCCCTATCCCTCCTCTCAAATGTTCCATGTCACCTTTGTTCCACTGTCTTGAAAGTGTTTTTTAATCAAGTCATGTACTTAAACCTGTAGCAACAGCTTCCCATAACCTGTTAGGCTACAGTGATCTTCCTCAAGCTGAACTCTGAGGGCAATACAGGATCTGGTCTGATACTAATTATTACATATGCCTCATAGCTATCCCTAAATCACCATCTACTAATACAAAGCCAAGCAGGTTAATGCACCTACCTTGCTAAATCACACATTTTGCTTATTCTCCTTCCCCTTCTATGCCTAGATGCCCTCTATTCTGTGTAAATCTTAAGTCCTTGGGACATGATATTGTCTTAATAGCAAAGGCCTCTGTTTATTATATCCCATATGGGCTTTGTTCTTTTTTTTTTTGGACCTTATCTGATTTTCTTTGTATGCATAATCAGCACGGAACTACTCTAAAGTTAACTGTTCTCTAATTGTTTCATATAGTATGTTTTCAAGTAGTATAATCTATTCCTACATATTTAATTTAAACTGTAAAGTGACTCCCAACTCTAAATTCACATTATCCTCTTTACTAAACTTAAGATTCACATATATCCAGTTGACTATCTTAGCTGTCCAATCGGCAACTCAGATATTACAGCTACTAACAAAACTCTTGATTTTTACCAATGAAATGCACTTATTCTCTCCAATCTCCTTATTTCAGCCCCATTATGTATATAGTTTCTTGGGCCAAAAACCTATACATGATTCTTAGTTTTTCTTTTTTCTTCACATCCCTTCATCTGTAAGAAAAATCTACTGGTATTATTCCCTAAATCCAACCATTGTTCTTCATTATCATCCTAGTTCAAGTTACAACTGTCATCTCTTCCTAAACTTCTCTAAAAGTCCTCCAGCTAATCTGTTTCTATTCTCTCTCTCTATTTTAAGAGTTCACTCTTCAGAGCTGCTAGAATAAGTTAATTTAATTAAGTTATTAATTAAATTAAATTATATAATTAAATAAAGCCAAAATCAATTAATATAACTCTCCATCTTAAAACTCCCCAATGGTTTTCTACTGCATTAGGTTCAATAAATAAATAGAATCCATCATGCTTCAACTTCTTCTATTAACTGTCCACAATGCTTACCACTGGTTTTCTTTCCATCTTCTGATATATACAAAGGGCTTCTCCCTTGGTTGTTACCTCAGCCTTGTTCTTCTTCTTTATATTCTCTCTCATTCTTTAGGTCTCTGCTCAATTATCACCCTTTCTGAGAAACCTTGATCACCAGAGATAAAGTCACACTCTATTCTATTACTTAGTCTTATTTCCTTCATATAGAATATAGTATTAAGTGTCCCCTTCAACTAGAATATATGCTTCTTCGGTTCTTGGAGGGAAGGCATCAAATATTATTTTTTTGTGTATTTCCCATTACAGTTTGCCTGCTATAATCCTAGGCATGTAAACACTCCAGTAAATAAACAACTTAAAAAAATTTTGTAATCTATAAAACTATAAAATTTTCTTAAGCTAGATATAAATGTAGAGAATCTGCAAAAAGGTTGATAATAGGATGACTACTATTTATCATAAATTCAGAACATGATTGTTAAATTAATTGAACACTAATTTCTATTGCAACCAACTAAACATCATTAAAATGATAGCTATCAGGCAAATGATTCTAATAAAATAAACGGAAATCTTACTTAATGTTATAATGTCCAGTTTTCAATGTACATCTATCAGGAAGTTGAGCAAGTTTCTTTGAGAGCATTTTAAAATACTTTCTGTACTTCTGCATTCCTGTGCTTTGTTCATAATCAGTAGAAGCAGAAAGTGGCAGTCCATCTCTGACACGAATAATGGAGGCAGATAAAATTGTAGACATTATATCTGACAAAGAAGACCTAAAACAAAACGAACAATTTGGATTAGATGAAAATTAAAGTCAAAGCTGATAAGCATGTGTAAAACTGTTCAACTACAGTCAAGGAATACTAATTTCAAAATGACATAAATTCTTAACAAATTAGCTTTAAAAAAAAAAAATCTGCAGCTGGGCACCCGTGGCTCATTTCTATAATCCTAAACACTCAGGAAGCTAAGATCTGAGGATGGTGGTTTGAAGCTAGCCCAGACAGTAAAGTTTATGAGATTCTTATCATCAAAAAGATGGAAGTAGGGTTGGGAATGTGGCTTTCTGGTAGAATGCTTCGTCTAGCATGCATGAAGCCCTAGATTCAATTCCTGAGTACCACATAAACAGAAAAAGCCAGAAATGGCACTGTGGCTCAAGTGGTAGAGTACTAGCCTTGAGCAAAAGAAGCTCAGGGACAGTGCCCAGGCCCCCTCAATTTAAGCCCCAGGACTGGCAAAAAAAAAAAAGTGTAGTAGAGGTGTGGCCCAAGTGGTAGAGTATCAGCCTTGAGTAAAAAAGCCAAGGAAAAGTCCTGAGTTCAAGCCTTACTACTATTTGATTCTGTATGTCTGTACAGCATTCTACAAAGTATAGATAAAAACAAAAGCTCATGTAAATACCATTCTCAAAACAATCTCCCAATTTTTCCAAGAATTTGAAAGCATTGATAATCTTTAATCTCACTAAGTTTAAATATGTAACCCTAGCCTAATGAAAATAGAGGGTGTGTGTGTGTGTGTGTGTGTGTGTGTGTGTGTGTGTGTGTGTGTGTGTGTGTGTGTGTGTGTGTGTGTGTGTGGCTTTACTAGTCCTTGGACTTTTGTGCTTAAGGCTG